TTTGTATTCATGTCCCATAATCAGTCTAAAAAAAATAGATTGGATGCTCTCAATTATCTGATATGAAATTGCGTCATCTATCTTTAACAGTTTCAACAGAAGGTTAGGACCCACCCAAAGTCCTTAAACGGTTAATTAACTGTTTAAATTTAACTCAGGCATTATAATTTGGACCAAAATTAGCAAATTTTTAATCACAAAAATTTTAATTCTGCTTGATTTATTATATATTATAAAAATATTTATAATTTTATTTATATATAAAATTATTACAAAAAAAATATAAAAGAAAATTAATTATAAAAATGTATTTATTCTTTATTAATTTGATATCAAATTTTAAGTATTTAAATTGTTTAATTAAAAAAAAAATGTATTGAAAATCAAATTTCGGCCAGAGTTTGATTTTTGTCCCAAAAAATGTATTTTCTATATTTTCTAGATATTTTCTGGTAAGAACACGGACATTTTCGGTGATATTTTCCGGACATTTATTTTTCATAGGGATGCAATATAAATTTATTAAATAAATTTATCATCAGATTCGCGGATCAAGCCTACCCTTTCATTTTGCGATTTAAAAAGGATTTATTGAGGAAAAAAAAATGATTCAGCTTTTGATTGTTCTTTTGTATGTTACAATATGGCTAATTCTTTGATAATAACTTTATTTGATGTGCTGTATACATTTCTCTGAATTTCATGCATACTTGGGAATTCTTAATCATTCACTTTTAATTTTTTAAGTTATTGTGGAGTATTCCGATTTCATTGATCTTTATTACATGACATGCAATGCTTGCTGCATTTCTTTTTTTTTATATATTACATTGTATTAATTATTCACATGTCATGTTTTTAGATCAAATTATGCAAACTTGAAAGAAAATATAATGTTATCGCCCGAAGACTTCTCACGAATTACCTTAATTAGATAAAACATATGGCGAAAATTTCTGATTAGATATTTCGAAAGAAAAGATAAGAACTTGTAATTCTGTTTATAACACAAAATAATAAAATAAATTTTCCTGAGATTTACCATATTTGACTCATTGTGAAAAAACTTATTCTTATGAGATGACCATGTGTGAAAATACTTTGAATGATAGTAACGCTACTTAATACATGCATTTTAAGTTAATAATTTCAAATGCGGCGTAAGGTAATTGAGCGTAGTTAATATTGGGTTAAAAAAAAGTAAATTTTTTTTTTGTTTTTTCTTTTTCTTTTTTTTTACGATTGTACAAGATGCATTGTCTCTGATACCTTTCATTTGTACCAAAAAAAAACAAGGTTTTACAAACCGAAATCATTTAAAGTGCGTCATTTAATTCCAAATCTTGTTCAAAGTGGACGGAAAAAAATAAGTAATGAATGCAAATAATGGAATAATGGAAATAAAAAATAAAAAATTGATAAAGAATACTTTGTAGATATTATATTTTAAATTGAAGATGAAATGATAAACTATAATAATATAGCTAAATATTGAGTATTATAACATAAATTAAATTTAACGCTTTTTACTCGATAAAAATATAATTTTTTCCGGCCATAAGCGCAATTGATGAAAAATATATTCTTTGTGCTTTTAATGGTCAATTAAACATAGAATAATCAATATCGTTTATTGCAGCCAAAACCTCAAAATATCTATTATTATAAAAAAACTAACTATTAATTTCAGTTTCGGATTACTAAGGGCATTCCGATGTTTAATTCGGGCTCGCACTTTAATTAATTCTCACCTTTACTTAACTAGAAGTTGGAACCGGTTAATTAACCGGTTAAGGCGTTTATCTTGTTACAGTAAATTTTACAATAATTCTTAAATCTGGCCGAATAGTAAATCTCGGCCAGAGTTAAAATATACCCGGTTATGATCGGAGAATTTTGACGTTAAATGATAAAAAGTAATTCAGAGGGTAGGGTATAAATGAAAAAATAAAAATAAATAATTAGAATATTTTCTGCAGTAAAATAATACGTTAAAGAATATATGAGAAAAATTAGATACAAGATCAAAATCGGTTTAGATCAGACTAATCAGATTGAATAAAATTATTAACTAACTTTCTTTTATGTGAAAATTTAATTTTATTTGATAAAGTTTACTAATCATTGATGCTAAATTTCACGTGATTTATTATAATAATTGAATGTTATTAACTAAATAAAAGTTTATTTAATTCATTAAAAAAAATTGATAACAGTTATATTTCTTTTTAAATTCATACCTTATGTAAATAAAAATTTGTTAAAAAATATGAATGTTTCGATGATGTTCACGTAAATTTAATTCAAATTTTATTGACGAATATAAAAAAAAAGAAATTCGAAAATCAGGGTCTTACCTTTTCATTTAGTTACTATTCACGGTCTACTGGGATATTTTTGGAAAAAAAATATAAAGAATAATATGAAGTGATTTTTATTATTAGTAGACCAAAAAAAAACCTTGTTAATAGCTATATTCCTATTCAAATAAATGAATTAAGTGTGTCTAAAAAAGGAAATATCAATATTGGTAAACATGAAATTAAATAATACTTATTTTTTAATTAAATAATTGGCCACGTCTCATATGGCGATTTTTTAGCTTCTTATGGCAATAAAATCACATGTTTCATACAATTTAGTTTAAATTATTTAAAATATTATGTAAATTAATAAATCAGTTGAATTAGTATAGTGGTAACAGCTCTAGGCATGTTGCTTATAATATAAGAGTATCTCAGTAAACATGTCTTGAGTTCGAGTACTTGCTGTACCAATTTCCAAAAAATCATTTATTTTTTTATTCATCATGTGATCTGACATTTCTATAGCACTAACTAACAGCAAAGTCTCAATAACTTTATTAACTTTGCAATTTTGCAGTTTAGTAGTTTTGGATTTTAAATTTTTAAAAAAAATATGGTCTTAAATTTACGCGCCTTTTACACATATAATTAAATATCTCAAATAACTGTCAAAAATAATATTATCCAGTAAAAGAGAACATAAGTCCTTATTCATCAGAAATACGCTTAGAAGTATGTAATCGCAAAAAAAGTAAAATTAATCTATAGTTGCTCTGAAATATTGAATGAAATTTTATGAGTTTATTGTCTTTTTAAGCATTATAATTATGCTAAAAATATTCTCATTTGAAATACTTTAACACTTTATAAAAAATATACGTGAAATTACAGCACCGTTTAACATTTTGATAACATTTTCCAATTGTTTATAAGAAATTCTATTAACAGAGGTACAGTTGCAGTAAAGAAGAGGGTCGTCAAAATTATGCAACAAGAAGATCTATTTCTAAAGATTCTACAGGTCACTCATAAGAAAATGACAAATATATTTTCATTCTGCAAAAAGTATTCTTCCACCTTTATGTCGATGCCCTGCAACAAATTTTAACTGATGAAATGTTAAATGGAATTTCTTCTCTTGCAGATACCAATAACCAATTCAAATGATTTATTTATTATTGTTCCATACTTGATGGGTACTCAACTATGGCATCTTTTTCAGCTTACTATCATTTTGGCAAGCAATTTACTTGATTATTTATTATTTATTGTTTATTAGTGATGCATGTTCCTGATCAGGATAATGTTATCAATCACAGCGCATTTCTCCAATTTTAAGTGTTGAAAGCAACGAAGGTAAAGTTATTAATCTATTGATTTTGATTTTGATTTTGATTTTTTAATTATTTCTTCATTTTTTTTAAATCTGACAGATTTTATTATTTATCATATACTTTTATATACAAGTAAGACGTGAAAAATTATAAGAATTCTGAAATTCAGAAGCTTTACACCATTTAATGTGGAAAAGCGGAAACTAGATTATCGCTCGTCAAAGGTATACATATTCCAATTCATATTGCTTCACTTGAAGTAGTAGTTTGTTTTTATGTTCATATAATATAGTTTTTTTGTGTTTGAATAATGAAATATCAATTTATTTTACTTAATTTTCGTATTATCATCAATCATAATAATAATTGAATAATTAATAACATTTTGAAGACGATTAGGAAGATATAACGAAGATTTCCTGGAATAAATGATATGTAGGATATTACACATGTATATTCACTCAGAAAATTATATCGGTTTTCAAAAATAAAAGGCGTGTATGGTTTTTTTTTTTGAAATATAACGAAATTCCAAACGAAAATTATAATAAATCAATATAACCTTTATTTACATTATCCATCAAACGAACGAGTATATTCTCGCAATCTAAGAATAAAGTATGTTAGCTAGAATATAGTTAAATGATTTCACAATATCAATCGATTTTTATCGTATCAATAGATCTTAAATAAAGCGGAAATATTAAATTCTTGATCCATTCTCAATATCTTACGATAAAATTATTTTTAAGTATTTTTCATGAAAATTGAATTTAAAGATTAGTTACAGTCAAAACTGGTTATAACGACCCTGTAAAAATTATTTCCGTGTTTTGAATCCGTATTTTTTCCGTTTTTATTATTAAATACGTTTTCTCCATAAATGTAGCATATTCACGGAATTTATAATTATAAATAATGAAAATTTTTATTGATACGCATTGATAAATAAGACGGAAATATTTCGGAAAAAACTCAGTAAATTTACTGAATGAAATTATGGAAATTTTTCGGAATAAATACGGTAAATTTACTCAATGATATTAACTGAATATTATTATGGAAATGTTTCGGAATAAATGCAGTAAATTCACTGAAATAAATACTGTAGAATAAAATATATAAAATCTTGAATTCATTGAATGCAATCTTGGAAACACGCTAGTGAAATTCATTCTTAAAGATTCTATGCCATTTTACCATTATCATCTTTGGATCACTTTCTAGATTTTGTTTTTTGCAATGAAGTATCTCCTATTATTCATTTTCCTCTCCCTTTTCCTCTTCTATTCCTTTTCCCTTACCTTTTTTATCTATAAAAATAGAAAATTTGATTATATTTAAGAAAATAAATAAGTATTTACATAATATCTTGTAGAGTATCAGATGCATTAATAGCAGTTTCGGTTATAACTGAAATATTTGTTTCCAAGATAGTAGTTGGAGACGAAACTGTTGTATTTGGATGGGCTGGAGACAAAACTGTTGTATTTTGATGTTCTGGAGGTGAACCCATTGTATTTTGATGTACAGGAGACGAAACTGTAGTGTTTGGATGGACTGGAGTCGAAACTGTTGTACTTGGATTTGATTAAGTGAAACTGTTGTATTTGGATGTGCTGGAGACGAAACTGTTGTATTTTGATATGCTAGAGACAAATTGTTGTATTTGGACAAGTATTAGATGCTGAAGAAACACCTAAATTTCTTTCAGAATCTTGTGAGGTATTAGTGGCTTCATGATCTGTATGCTTTAATTTAGGAGGAGGGTGAACATTTTTTTTTGGTGATGGTGGTGGAAGTCCTTTATCTTTCGCTTCTGCAAACATTTTCTTCTTTACTTAATCAACTGTATTAATATAAATTTAGAATATAATCAAATAATAATTGTTAAAAGCAGTTATAAAGTACTTACCCATGCTATTGCAATATGAGGTAAGCCAGTCATGAAGAACGAAATCTGCTTC